GAGTGCAGGTTTTCCGCATTGACTTTGATCAAAAGCAAATACCGGTAAAGGCTGCAGCCAGAGTATGATCTGCGTTTATTCCTGTGTGCATCAAAGACGCAGACTCATTCTTCCCACTAAAGTAGGGGTGAGTGTAACGGGGTGACGTTCAGTGTGTTGCCGGGAGCATATAAGGATTTATCCACCATGTTGAAAATGTTAAAAAAAATATGTCTTGAGAACACGGCGTGCGGAAATATACGGGTCGTGCTGCAGCTAGATGTGCCTGTCCTCTGTAAGAAGGTGTCGGCGACTGACATGCAAGGAAGAACGGCTGTCCACAGGCTGTTCCAACTTTAACAACTGTATTAACTTCCAGGGTAGTGAATTGAACATGCAATTGTAATTGGGTGTGTGGTATATTTTCATGCACGGACACGCATGTTCCACAACACACAAACTGAACAACACTCAACTCCGATAGCTACCAGTGTCCTTGCGATCTTGTTATAATAACAAGTGCACGTTACTGATGCAATATGGTTGAGACCATTCGGGCTTATTCTAGAGGGGTGCAAGGAATAGTCCAAGTAGTGGGGGAGTTTTATACAATATGTTTAAAACATAAAAATAAAAAGGTTTAAAAAAGTTATTGTTTAATGTTTTAAGGAGGTGACGCTACTCAGCCAATCAAATCGGTGCAGTCAGCACGATAGATTCAAACACACACAGAGACGAGACAAGAGGAGAGAAACAGTCGGAATATTTTCTTACTGGACCTCTTTGAAATGCAATTGAATACCCCTGCATTATAGCAACAACAACAATAATAATAATAATAATAGCAATAATAATTGGGAGGGGGGGCGCGGCTGTTCTTATGTTCTCTGAGGGGAGGCTCACCTACCCACACTTTGAAAACCCCTGGACTAGAACATTGAACATTTAAATTTAGAGGCTATGGTAACTGCCTTTTCTAGCACAATAATGGTCAAGTAAACTTGAGGGAATGGTCCTACTTTATCTCACTAACAGACAGATATAAACGATTTAGGTAGGTTGTTCCTTTTCTTACCTGGCTCCAGATTTGAACTTCTCCAGGTACATAGAGCGGAGACTGTCATGTCCTGGCAGGTCAATCAGAGTCCAGGCGCTGCCCTGAATACAGGAGGGAGAGTGGATGAATGTAAACCATGACCATCATGAAATCATCATAGCTGATCATGATAAAGTGTACTGTACTTACTCGGTCGTTTTTGGCTTTGTATGGAGCACTGCTGTCAGTGATGGAGGTCTGTGTCCGCTTGAATTTACTTGCCAACAGCTGTAAAAACACAATATGTAAAATCACTCAGATTACCCATGTCTCTCATCAGCTGAGCAACCTTTTAAAGACAACGTGGCGATGGCGCTTCAGTTGTATCAACTCACCCGGCTGAACAGGAGCGTTTTCCCCGAGTCACACAGACCCACCAGCAGCACAGCACTTCGGACAGTTTTACTAGTGAGGAAGTACTTCAGAAACACTGGAAAGAGAAAAAAGTAGAGAACCAGGTCACTATGTCATTCTCATTCAAAACACATGGTTCACAAACCAATACTATAGAAAGTTGAAAGACTTCCGTGTGGAATAATTATCAACTGACCAACTGACAGATGTTAGCTTTAGCTTAGCAGTTAGCTTATCCGCTTGCTAAATAACCTTTTGATTTGTTCAAGCACACATTAACTAACTAAATGAACATGAGACAAAACATGTAAACACTGAACGTCCAGCTGTTCAACTCGCTATATAACACGTAGCTAACTGCTAAAGTAAGGCCTAGCCTGCTAAACTAATGTTAGCATGCTAACGGTGACATCTTACCACAGGTAATGAAAACCACCGCTAAAGCGACTATAAATCCGATCAGAAATATGGGATCTTGGTCTTCCAGTTGCTGTCGTAGGAATTCAATGTAAGGTTCAAATGGGTTTTCTGATATTTCCACGTCGGCTTTGTCCCCCATGTTGCCACCGGTGCTGTCTGCCTTCATCTGTCCGCTGAAACTAATCTGAAAGTGGGACACGTCTGCTTCCTCTGCGGCCTGTACAGAGGCTGGGCGGCCGGCAGGGGGCGCTGTAGGCCTCCTGGTGAAGTTCACCTTATTCACATTCTCGCTTCTAAACTGGGGGGTGAATAATTAATTTCACTTTAAATATTTTATTTTCATTCAACATAAAAGAGGAGGAAAACAGTGAACATACCAGGTCATCCTAAAGCATTGATGGACAGTATAGGCTACATTTACTCAAGTAGTCTAGTGCACATAAATAAATAATTTGAAGACGCCTATAAGTAGGCTATTTTAATATGAGAGTAAATGTTAGACATTTACTCTACTAGGGTAAACCTGTCAGAAAGCTGGAGGTACTGTTTACTTAACAGGTTCATATTTTACACACAAAATAATACTTTAATTATAAAAATGTGATGCTATGCTATAGATTACTTTAAGTAGGCCTACATAATTTCACTTTAAATGTGCACTAACTCGTTACTGAGGTGAATGCGGGTTAGTTTACTTCTCTACCAGCTGGTCAAAAGTATGATTTACTAATTAAAAAAATGTCAGGTAACTTAATGAATATATATTTTACTTCCAAAATCAAAACTTGATGGTGAGGTCATAAATCAAAAACGTGGGTAATTTGGGTGATACCCATTTTGTTAAAACATCTAATCGGTTTTCAATTATATAGGCTAGCCTAAACATAAATCTGTAGGTTATTTGCAATCAAGTGTCAGAGGTAAACGAAACTACCGGATTATTTTAAGAGCACATTGTCATCGCTCATATCTGTCTTTCCAAAAAGTATCTCCTTATATTATCCGGAAGTTAGGAGAATTGAGACATGAGTAAGACACTGCAAGAAAGTTAATTAACTATGAACTCACTATTGGCTATCACATTAATAGCAGTAAGACTATAAAAACTCAAGGGGTTGTGGTTTTTGGTTGGGAACAGATGCACTTTTATGTACTCCGTCTCCAGCCCCCACAAGCAGCGCGTTTTACGCACATGGATATTTGACTCCTCAGTCCTCGGCACGATGTCAAACGTCAGAAACCCGCGTTATTCTATAGGAACAAGCTGTGTGTGATTCATTTGTCAGTTTGTTTCTCCTTGGAAACATGAAATGACTAACTCATTGATGGTTTCAGCGAAGTTTGCTAAGACTTTATTTCCCCATTCCTTCAGATACTTCATCTCTCTAAGTGGGATTTATAACAGGGTTTACTTGAACATCTTCGGTATCTGAGGATATAAATCTATGTCAGGGGTAAATCAAAAGGAGATTATGGCTTTATCGTTGTTTTACGCGCTGTGCATGTGGATAAGTTTAGTCTGTCCTACGCGGGGAACAGGGTTTGTTTATCACTTTCCGGGCATCACACTGCAGCGGCAGCGCATCAAGTCGGAGCAAAGCGGCAACACTGGACCGCCAGGTACCGGAACCAGTATCCAACTCAGGTGAGAAGCACATCTGTACACTGTTTGTAAAAAAATCTATAGCTCTATTAAATTGTCCCATTGTTTATGTTTTTTCCATTTTCACATCGACTATTAGAGTGTTAAAAACCCTGTTTGATTTGTATTTTTAGGAACTGGTGTCAGTATACTGTTTCCAGAACAGTGACCTGTCAGGTGTACAATGGGACACAAACCACTGTGCAGAGAGTGATACAGGGCTGCCGGTGGCCGGGACCTTGTTCCAAGGTCATCAGGTGAGTCGTCACACACCTGCAGCCATGTCAGCTCTTTCAGTGTCTGTGATGCTCAAACATGTTTTTTTTGTCATGAATATAGAGAGTTGTGGGGAAAGATTTAGTGGAAACACTGCTATGCCACATTGTCACCCTTTCTTTGAATGTTTTGGTATTGGTCTTATAGTGATAATACTTTTAAAATATATTTTTGGGAACAGAGAGTGCCTTTATTTGAGACACAGAGTGAAATGGAGAGACAGATCTGTCATATAGACAAATGCATTCCACTTTTACTTTACAAAAGCATTATCAACACAATCAAGTGAAATATTTGATCTCCCCCTCTCCCACTGTTGTCCCAAAAAATGTCCACTATTACTTAATGGATCCATATATAATATGTTGCAGCTTTATGTCCGTGCATTTGTATGTGTATGCACATGCATGTAGCTACAATCCATGTTCCTGTGCTGTTGTGCAGCTACAGGACGGTGATCAGGCCATCCTTCAAAGTTGCCCACAAGCAGGTGACTGCACTGGAGTGGAGATGCTGCCCAGGGTTTGTGGGAGAAGACTGTCGTGAAGGTGAGTTTCTGATCTATGCTCTTTTTTTTTGTCTTTTACGAGATGTAGGGGATAGTGTGGTTGGAGAGTAAATCTCTCAAAGAGGCCATGTGTTTTGCACTAACCCATCTGTATCTTTTTAGCAGCTTTACCCACATCAGTGCGTTGTTTAATGTTTGGTGGTGTGTAGTCGGGTAGCTTGCTAATGGTGCTTCTGTTGGTCGTTTGATATCATTGTAAAGTTGTTTGGATTTAACATTGCAAGCCTGTTTTGGATTACTGTAGTTTTGGGAGAAAGGATGGCAGTAAAGCAACAGTTGAAAGAGATTCTCTACCCCGTGGTTTTGTACCTTTTCTTTTATGGTCGTGCATTAAAGACACTTCTGTGTCTGGAAGGAGGATCAGAATCACTTTTGTTTCCCTCTGTATGTCTTTCTTTGATTGTGTATGTACTCCCTGTTAACCACAGACAGAGGCAGTTCTCTGTCCCTCCCAATATCGTCAGTCTAAAATATGAATGAAAGAGTCTTAGAGGAATGTCCAGCAGAGCCGCTTGTAAAGTGGGAGGCATAGTGTTGGTCTCATGATGGGCAGAGCTGCTCCTTGATACCACAGACCCGCAGACTCTAAGCCCAGAAAGAGCAACATTTTCATCCAGGTGCGAGACACCACAATCTGCCAGAAGTAACAGACTTTCAGGGTGGGTGAAGGTCTAGTGTTGGGCCCATAACTCTGCTCTTTACATGTAGCTATACATTTATAAATATGTGTCCACTCCTCAAAACCACATTGACAAGCATGTTTTCACATATTTAGTTTAAACATTGTGGATGCCCGTAAAACTGTTGAGGCTGCTTTCGCTTAGAGTTATTTGGACAGCTTTCTTTTTAATATGATATAGTGAACACAGCAACTTTCAGATTTTTGGGGGGTGGGGCAATGCAGCACTTTTTATGTCTTTGAAAAGCACTCGTCTGATGTTTCTACATTTGTCCAACATTTACCTCTATGAGCAAGTTTTTCTTTTTGGCCATAATTGCCACACCTTGTTCCATTTTGCGAAATGATTCATTGTTGCACTTGGGGGGCGAAGATTTACCGCAAGTTAAAACAACACACATCAGTACAAATGGAATAAACATAGACATTATTACAAAGCCTTTGGAAACTATTATTTTGTGCGGCCATGGATTATTTGACTCAAAGATTAACAAATAACTGCATCCACAGAGTCCGTACCGCCAAAGATTATGGTTCACTTGAGACCACAGTGGTTGCAGGAGTGTGAAGAAGTAATCTGGCAGTTTATTTTATGTTTGCTGAGATTAATTTGCAACTCCTAATGGCTTTAATGCATGAGGAAAATTGCCTCCATATGGAGAGACAGAAGGCCACATTTGGCTCTGCAAAGAGACCTGAAAGACTCACACCGAGGCGAGGAGGGGGAGCTGGCAGTGTGTCGGAGGGAGAGAAGGTGAGGACACCGAGGGGAGAAAGTTAGGACGAGTGCACAAGAAACAACAAGGTGTTAGAATTGGCAGTGCAGAAACAGCTGTGTAGCAAGAGAAAAAGCAGACAAGAGAAGAAGTGAATATAATAAGGAGTGTGTCTGTCCCACAGGGCTCCAGCTGCTACAAGCTGCCCAGACAGCAGCAGAGCAGAGAGCCGGTTCTGTGGGAAAGTGGCCCCACTGAGATGAATGAGCATGAAACTCTTTCATGAGGTCTTTGTAACATACGTGACCGTGCTAAAATCAGGCCACAGCTCCGGTTCTCCCTGCGTAGATTAACCTCAGTATAACAAAAAGAGGTTAATAATGGATATCAGGACTTTCTTTGAGGGAAGCTTAAGTAGTTTATAGAACCTATATGTCATTACATTTCCTCCTCAGAGCTTTGATTTATGGAGAGCTGTTACATAGAAGGGAGGGTATGACAGTTGTGATGTTAAGTCATGCTTCATATTTAAAACAGTCTGAGCGTCTTTCCAGCATTTCATAAAAAAAGCCCTCTTCAGAATCAATCAGTCAAATACGAAGATGAAGATAAACTTTTGTTTCACCTTTTAAGGAAAGAGTTTGACATTTTTGGGAATACGCTGAACTGCTTTCTTGTTGAGAGTCCAGTGGTTCTCAACTGGTGGGTCGCGACCCAAAAGTGGGTCTCGGACCCGTTTCGAGTGGGTCGCAGATGTGTGAGTGAAAAAAAAAAAAATTGAAAAAAAAAAAATTCCTTTTTTTTTTTTTCTGGGGGGAAAAAGTCAAACTTTTATTTTAAAGGCCCGATTTTCTAACGCTGTGCATGCAGTAGGCGTTGGACTGAAAGTACCAGAGACCATAAACGGTTTTGAAAACTTCTGTCACGTAGTGATCATCTTCTCAATAAAACATCTTTGCTGTTTTTTTTTCGAGTCTTCTGGCCAATCAGAATCAAGATTGTAGCCGGAAGTCCTCACGGAGAATGACTTTGCGGTAGAACTATTCTTTATACATCCATGGGTACAACTTCAGATAAAAATGAACACATAATGAAATAGGACCCCCGGTTTGATGATTGACAGGTCACAGAACAATGGGGGCTATCTACCCTTACCCACAATTTAAACTATTTCACACAGACTATCTCCTCTTTGCTCTTCTCTCTGTGTGGAGCAGCAAGTTCAGCTGTCAGAACAAAGGGAAAAACAAACAATGGCATAAAATATTATTAATATGTTGTAATAAATCTATTTATTTTCTTCTCAGAGTGTACCAGAATGGGTAGTTTATATGTTAGTATTTCAAAAAATCTCCTGGGGGAGAATCCACCCAGACCCCCCTTCTGGAGTTAGATTTTCAGCACGTGTGCCTTTTTATGTTATACAGTTCAACTTTGATTCCATCATCTCATTAAACCTTATTTAAAAGCATTCTTTTGTTCTGTGAAGGGATATAAGGGATATATGCACTATATATTACTGCAGGATTTTTTGTTGAATAGATTCGAGTGGTTCAAAATTTCGGGTTGCGATCTATTGACTAAGGAAAAAGTGGGTCCTGAGGCCTGACCAGTTGAGAGCCACAAAATACTTCAGCAGCTTAGCTTAGCATAAAGTCCTCACAGAAGTATTTCCTCCTGCCCAAGAGATGGTCATAACTTTTAATATGACCATATACTGGCTGCTAATGTTTGCTTATATTTACTTCACAATCATGAGTGGTGCCAATGTTCTCATGTAACTCTCAGCAAGAAAGCAAATAAGAGTATTTCCCAGCATGTCAAAGTGAACTATTCCTCATAGCGTGGAGAATTTTGTTTGGAAACATAATTCTGTGTTTGTGCATTCATCCTTTTGTCATTATGTCACTCAGCCAGCACTGTACATGCAGCCCTGTGTAGCAGAATATTGAGCCAGCTGTTTAATCAGAGCCTTAACCGATGAAGATGACATCACCCTAGGCTTTAGTTTGATGAAGCTCTGGCTCCACTTCAGAGGCCCCTGAGGCCCTCGGAGACGTAGACACAGGGGCACACGAAGAAGGCTGGAGTCAAAGTTAAGTCAGTGTAAGCTGAGGAGATGCTGGTTTCTCTCACCTCCTCTCACACTTATGTTTTCTTCAATCATCAATCAATCAATGTTTATTTATATAGCCCAATATCACAAATGTTACATTTGTCTCAGTGGACTTCACAGT